CCCCAACCCCTCAAGGCCCAAGGGGATTCCTTCTCTGCACCTTTCTAATTGCAGTTGTTGTCATTGATTTCCTTAACCTCTCCACTGTTGTGTAGACGTATATTATTCATTTTTGTTCTCCCAAACCGGTTCATTGACATTAAATCTCCTGCCTTGTGTGTTGAGGATTTGTTAGCAGATGTACTACTGTATTTATTGCAGCTGGTGCAGTTGCCTCCTCTTAAAAAAAGGATCATGGCTTTGTTGAAATCTCTCCTGAATGAACATTTTATCTCGTCTGTACAATCGTAAATGGAAACGCCTTAGCCTTGAACGGGTTAATGTCAGTGTGAATCATCGCCATCTTGTCTGTGTCACGTCCTGTTCTACATTTCTTGCTTATTTAATTGTGGGTGGTTGGCGGGTGCTCTGGTGTGGTTTGCTCTTTCTTTCCTATCTATTGTCCTTATCTGCCCTCCTACTCTTTATTTATGTTACTCACACGCTACTCCTCTAACCATCGGCACTTATATGACCTAATTGTGCTGCGTGTGCTGTAAAACTCTTACTAAAAACCTTAATTATTTATCCTTTCCTGACCGCTCCACACCGGGGTCTACGGGTGGTTAGAGGGTAACCCTGGTAAGCCCTACTCTTCTTTACTTTCCCTCTGTTGTTTCTGTCTTTTCCCCAACACTAAATGACCACTATTGTATCGAAGTACTCAAACACATAAATTACTGGAGTCTGCGGTGTAACCGTTTGGAATTTTGCAGTTGCACTCAGAAGGCAGGAGTTCGATTCCTGTGTGGGGAGAATGGATTTGGGGGGGGGGGGGGGGGGTATTGAATATCTTCGTCTGCCGGGACATTGTGGTATACATCTCATCTCGGGCTGGCCTTGACAGGTAGGGTCGAAGGAATCCACCTCTTAAATTATCCAAATTGTGCCTTCGGGGGAGAAAAGCACTAACAATGATAATTTTTATTTTGGCCACAGCTGTTCAGTAGTTGGTGATAGGGGGGGCGCTACTGGTTGGTCTTATTTTTTAAGACTTTTTTTTAGCCTTTCCTTCTTTTGTCTCTGTTGGTGCATTATTTCGCTTTTCCCAGCTGAAACTGAAAAAGGTCGCAATGTTAAATGATTCATCCGTGGGGACAAAATCAAAACATTTCAGATCCCATTTAAATTTGAATATGCATTTTTTAAATCTCCGTATATTATATGCATGGATGGAATTAGTACTATCTCGTTTTAACTCACCATGGGCCTTTTTTTGTAGGTGCACGTGAGTAGCTGGAATATGTTTTTCGATTTAAGAACTCTTGTTTTCGCGGATGGTGGTTAGAGAGTGATACTGGTAGGTCCTACTTTTTCACTGTTGTTTCTGTCTTACTTATTTCCAGCACTTATTTGTCGCGATGCTTTTCTTCTTACTCAAACAAAACAAACAACTCTTGTTTTCAGTTTTCTGTTGGTATTGTTGGAAAGTTATATAAGCACTTGTACCACCTCTCACTTTGTTGTTTTTCCACTCTCCAAACAAACGTTTTTCTAATTCAATTTATTGCATTGACCCCCCCCC